TTTCATTCTAATTAAAATTTTGAATAGTGCTTAATTTGTTTTTTTAAATATTGAGTGAATAAATTCATTAGTAATATGTGGGCCCTCTAACCTGAAACTTTTTTTTAATTTTAAAATAATTTAATTGATCTATGCCATTTCAAAAATTATTAATGAACCATTGACTTTAAATTCTACACCTTAATTCTAATTGGCATAATACTAATAATTATAAGAAATTATTATTTTTGATGTATATATATAAGGGTTTAAAAGAAGGTCCACATTTTAAAACATAAACCCTTTGATTGTTAGACTTTAATATACATGCTAGTTATCATTTTAGAGCAATCTTTTAACTATGTTTGTTGTTATAATAATGATTAAATCACCACTGAACCATCTCAACAAAATATGAGTGAATGAGCACATTTTAAACTTTAAAAATATTCGAACTATTGATTGAAAGTATGTTAGATCCTCTTCGAAGATGATTGATCAAGGGTAAAACATAATTTAGATATATAGTTTTAATAAGATTTGAATAAGTTCAAATAAGACTAAAATGCATTGAAGTTGATTCGAATATTATTAAATAAGTTTGAAGATATTTTATAATTTACACATTTTAGTTGTTCTATAATGTATGTGGATTTATAAGCTAATCCTATAAGTTCATAGATACTAGACTTAGGTCTCAATGCTTCTTCATAGCTTTGGAAATGCATTATCTGGCACCTTTAATTATTATTGATGATGGTTGATAATAAAATGAATGGTAAGAACTCATTTGTGCTCAATATTGGAGGAAAGAACACAATCTTCGGAACTAGAACGTTTGCTTTAGTGGCTAGGTTGAAATTTCAACAACTCCCAACTGATATCGAGTTTGAAAATGTGCCAAGAGGTAACATGTTGTTTGAGAGCTAATGAGTGTTAAGAATATGGTCCTTAAACACATTTTCATACACTACATTGACAAAGGTGAAGTATGGAATATTGGGCTATGTTTTTTTTTTTTGTTGAAGATGTCCTCATATTAATCATGACAAGCACAATTCTACTTTCACTGAAATAGTTGTCATGGTTGAAGATCATGATGCATTTTTTAGATGCACTTAGGATAAAAAATCATGTTGAGGATATAATAAGTGTTAAAGAAGGGCATGACATACTATGAGGAATATGTTTTAAGAATGCTCCATACCAATACTTTATAAATAGATATGTAGTATCACTATAGTACTAGGTTTATAAAGCCATTCCAAATATTGTGAGGATATGTTTTGAGTTCCTTGGGAATAGAATAGCAAGGCTGTTGAGCTAGAACAGCAATAAGGTGTTCATAAAAACGGGTTTTTTTTTACCATGGATCATGACTAAAGATGTAAGTATTTACTTTTTATGGTGTTGGAATATAAAGAACTAATTAGCAGAAGTATATAAGATATTAATATTTTTTTCCTTTTTTATGTTTTATAGAGAGTTTTTCCATCCTAAGTTATTATAGGGCTGATGAGAAGTATATTTTTAGGTCCATTATATATACTCTTACTTCGCCTGTCATAATTAAGATTACAAAGAAGAAGTGCTCTTATATTTGATGGGAGACTATGGGAGATAGTGAATGTACAACTAGCTACAATTCAATTCATCACATCCTAAGGAGGAGGGATGGAACAACTTTTTGCCATCTTTCTAGTGTTAAGAGGTGGCCAAATACGATTGGAGAATAACAAAAAAAAAAAAAAAGATTAAAGAATGACCAAATAAAATGAAAGCTGAAGTTATATGCTATAATCAATTTTGTACATATTTTTTAACATAGTGCTTCTCAAGAGAGGAGATAGGAGGAGAAGAAGAAGGAGGATGTGGAAGTCATAAGGGATATAACCTCATAATAGGCCATGGCTCCTATATATATGGTAGTCTAGCTATCAGGCACCCCATTTATAGATATTGCACATAAGAATGATGTACTATTAGTAAGGAATAAATATAAGTCATATAAGAGCAAGAGATATATGATTATGGATTTCACATATCCATTAAGGAAGAGGAACAAGCCCAAAGATCCATACATCATTGATCCATTTTGCCTCATCGATTAGGAGAAAATGTTTCTAGACTTCAAGTGGTTGACAACTCTGAGAAGTTATGAGTGGTCACTTGAAATGCATGATAATTTAAACATTTGAATACTTCAACAACTTAATGAGATCGTAAGGTAAGAAATATTTTGGATCATTAAAAGTGCAAGAAATTTACTCATTACATTAATTTTAATTTTAATTTTCTTAAAGTATATTAAGTCTTTATGTTTACTAGTAAGGGAGTGAATAAAGAGTCACCCAAAGACATTGGACTAGACATAGTGGTGTTGGATGAAATATTAGATTAGCAATACATAATAGTAGTTACAATGCACAACAAGACAAGGACAAAAGAATTCTTCACAGGGCCAAAAGACAGCATTATGTATTCCAAGGGGGATGAAGTCAAGTTCTTGAAGTCATGACATGATACACCATTTATATATAATTCAATGAGCTAGAACAAAGTCCATTGGATAGAATATAATTTCTTAGTGACTGTAAATGCCATGAAGTTGTATGAATGTAACCCTTCTTGCACAATGACACAAAACTTGTAGGCAATGATGAATCTTTCCTACATGTGCTTTTCTAGGTTGCTTGAGCATATAAGGCTATTTGACAACATATTGGTACTACTCTCCTCCATATCTCTTTGGGCATAAAATAGGGCCAATACAAATTAATGAGGTTAATAAAAATTGAAATAGCTCTTGCATACATTAACTAATGAACTATTCACATCCATCTTATTTGTAGCCATAACATTCAAGGGTATGCAATAAAATATATCATATAACAATTGAAATTTATTCTTACACTTATTTGAACATGTTCAAACACTTGAATGAAGCTATATTTGAACTTTTATATATCAATCAATATATATCAAATTATCTCCAATAAAAGAGTCAAATATATATATATATATATTTGATAGCATTTGAATAAGTTTAAGAATAATATATCAACCATATTTAAACTTTTTTTTAGCATTTATTCAACACTTATTTGAAGCAACGTTGATTTATAGTTAAAAGTAAGAAAAAATTTTGGTTCAATTAAAACTTTATGGCATATGTTTTCTAAGAAATAAAATTATGTATATATATTATCAAAAATTTATCTTGATCAAGCACACATCTCGAGATAACTTTGAATTGGAAAGTTCCAAAATTAAATCCAGCTCCATCCGAGCATCGATTTCAACAAATTTATAGTAGAATTGAATGTTTCAAAAAGACAGACCCAATGATACCTAATTTGGCTCAATTCAAGCCCAAATGGGTCCAAATCAACGACTTGAAGCATATTTGGAAGGTTCAAATCATAAATTGAGCAATCAAATGATTTCCAAATATAACATGATTATAGTCGAATTGAGCGACCTGACAAGATGAATCCAACGAGCCCAAAATTATTGAATTTTGATTTCATTAGGACACTTACATACTTGGTAAGTGGTCTATAATCAAGGGAGTCGATATCGGCCGTCTATTCAAAATATTCCCAACGTTCCCTAGATCTTCTCCATATTTACTGACCATGCTGCTCCAAAGAAATTATAAATCGACCTCTCATCTCATTCTTCATTGAGCAGGACCAAGAAAGGGAGGAAAAAAAAAGAGAGCATATGAAGAGAAATATGATATCTCTCTTGCGACCAAGCTCCTCCTCGATCACCGCCTAACCACCAATTGTCTCCGATCTTTCGCCTGGATACCTACCATCACTCAACTATGGTATTTCAGACCTCCGTCGCCTATCAACTATGATCTCTCCGACTATGATATTTCCGACCTCCGTCATCCTTCGTCTACAGTCCTTCTGACCACAACCACCTCACTATGGTCTTTCCGACCTCCGCGACCACCATTGCCCGACTATGATCTTTTCGACCTCCGCAACCATCTCTGTCGCCCGTCAACTACAGTCTCTCCGACCAACTTCATCGACTACGATCTTCCCAATCTTTGTCGTCCACCAACTACGGTCTCTCCGACTACCTTCACTGACTACAATCTTTTCGACATCTGTCGCATGCAGACTACATTCCTTCCAACCACCGTCATCCAATATAATTATGATATTTTCGGCCATCGTCGCCCAACTACAGTCTTTCTAACCTTCGCCCCACCGACTACGATCCTTTAGACTACTGTCATCCGACTATGGCCCTTCAAACCTACAACACTCACTGACCGAGTATGGTCATGCCAATAAAATGAACATGTTAACACTGATTATTCCAACTCATAACATGTAATGCATTATATACGATGTTATTTTCTATATCGAGCCAAGACATACCCTCCAAGGAAGAGCCTTATTTGTAATAAACTGCAAACACTAGTTGATTCAGTTAAATTGGGCAATGACTCATAATTTTTCCTCCTTTTCAGAGATTTCAATGTAAAAAAACTACGATATCTCTTATGAATATTAAACTCTTATTTTTCATCTATTTATGTATTAGATCTTCATATAAAGCTACAACATTAAAATTTACATTTACGCCACAAATGTTCCGGTCCACTATATATATATTATTCTTAAATTTAAAACATTACTATAATGTTTGCCTTATCACGGATAGATAACATGCCTTAACGTAGTAGGATCAGGTGACGATCTTACTTAAAAAATTGGTTATACCATATTGCGCTCTAAATATTTTAACAATTTTTGTAATGTTAAAACATCATATTTTGTTACGCTGCGTGTGATAATTATGGCATTTTCTTTAACTTATTTATTCTTAGAAAACGAAACGGCTCCAATTCCTAATCTTTTATTGTGCTCCAGCTATTATCGGAATTCAGATCTGCCGTTAGTTACCTGTGTGGGCCCCACGCTACTGTCGTCCGCGATCCACCAAACCGCGGCAATGGAGAAACTACCCACCATCTCCTCTCCCTCACGCTCTTTTGGCATAACAAAGAGAGAGGAGAGAGAAATAGGGGGGAGAACGCGAGCTCCGCTCCTCCCAAATCCTAAAAAAATAGCCACATTTCGTTGCCGGAGGCCATGTCCTCATCGCCGCCACCGACTTCTGCACCGCCGCCGTCATCCACCTTTCCTCCACCCTCAAACTCCACCTCTCCCCCTCCTCAACCCCTCTCCTCTCCTCCGCCTCCGGCCACCGCTCCTCCACCCTTAAACCCCATTTCACCGTCTCCTCCGGCTTCCACCCCTCCATCTCCTCCCATTCCACTGAACCCGTCCCCACCGAGCCGATCAACGCCACCGAAGCCGATCAACCCATCGGGATCTTCGGGGTCGGGGAAGAGCCCGCCATCATCTGGACGTTCTCCTCCCGCGCCTCCTTCGTCGTCGAGCTCAACCTCGACCGGGCTCGTGGTTGGCTTGGCCATCGGTGGAGTGGTGATTCTATTGTTGTTGGGTGTTTTGTGGATCTTTTGCTGTAGAAAGAAGCGTCGGGCAGGGCCTATGCCACCAATGCCGCCACAATACTCCGTTCCTCCTCCTCCAAGGAAAGGTAACGTGCGTTGTGTGCTTTTCTTTGGAAGTGCTAATGTGATGTGGATCTAGTATTTTTCTATGGTTAATGTCATTAGTTGCTTGGAGCTAGAGCTTTGTTTTGAGATGCACACAGCACACAAGAACGGAGACCAGTGCCACTTAGAAGTGAAACTAAAGCTGAGTTTTTAGTATCTCAGTAGTCAGTAGTGACCATTAGGTTAAGTTTTTTGATTGTTAGGTTTGTATACTCTTGAAGTGTGATGGGGGTCCATCCATTTGTATATTGGGGTAAACTTAAACATAACTGTCCACCTTCCTAATATTTTGAAGCATAAAGTTAGTCTGTTAGCTACAATGAAGTCCTCATTAAATATATCATTATTTGTGTACCTGATGAGTTTTCTTGTCAGTTATCTGCGTTTAATCCGTGAAAAATATAAGTGTTGTTTTTTTCCTTTATCTTGGATGTAGTTGCTTCAGATCTGTTTTGTTGTTCTTTTGCTTAAATATCAATTTGAAAGAAAAATGTTTTTCTTTGTAGATTAAATTTGCTGGTTCTTCTCCTCCATATGATGTATGATTCTAGGCATCCTTAAGAATTTTATTTTATTGTGTGAAATGGAGCTGGAGTTTCAGCTAATGTGTGCGCTCTTTTCTTAATCAAAACAGAGCTGCATACATCCACATTCCTTGCTCTATGCAATGTTCATAATTTTGTATTCTTCAGTGGCGTTGAATTATCAAACAATCCTTCAATGGCGTTGAATATAACAAAAGTTTGTGCCCACATCCATCAGTAGTTTTCGTCGAAGTTGTGCATCACTTTCCTTATTTTTTTCAGTATTCTTCAGTATTCAGATGCAATTGTGAAATAGGATAGGATATAGTAACATGTTGTCACTTACTTTTGTTGATTTGATCAAGTCAAATCTATTACTTTCGAACACTTTTGTTAATATTTTTTAGCTTTGTTTGAAGCAGAAATTCTTATCCTTTCAAATTACTGTCAGATGAACCATATGAGCAACACCAAAATTGGCACAGTGCTGCACCAAAAGCAGATCATTTTATAAAAATCCCCCCAAATCCTTCCCCTGCCCCTCCTCCACCATTTGCTTCGCATCCCCCACAAGGGTTGGGCAATTTCGGTGTCCCTCCAGTTGTTATGAGTAATAGTGGAAGCTCTGGATTAAATTATTCTGGATCTGATAATTCACCAGTTCCACCATCACCAGGGGTTTCATTTGGCTTATCAAAGAGCACATTCACATATGAAGAACTAGCAATGGCAACAGATGGATTCTCTGATGCTAACCTCCTTGGGCAAGGTGGTTTTGGATATGTTCACAGAGGAATGCTTCCCAGTGGTAAGGAAGTTGCTGTCAAGCAGTTGAAGTCTGGTAGTGGGCAAGGTGAGCGTGAGTTTCAAGCAGAGGTTGAAATCATTAGCCGCGTGCATCACCGATACCTAGTTTCATTGGTTGGATACTGCATTGCGGAGGGAAAGCGGCTTCTTGTCTACGAATATGTTCCTAACAATACATTGGAGTTTCATTTGCATGGTGAATATAACATGAACTCGACTCTATTTTTCTATTTTGAATCTTTTATCAGCAATTCATTATTTAATTTACTGGGGTACAGCTTTTATTTTGGTTTTTAGTTGTCTTAGGATACACTTTTTGTATAACTAGGAGAGGTCTTTATCATCATCAGTGCTTGCCTCATCCCATCTATTTGGGTTCCATCAGATGAGGGATTAATATGTGATTGAATGAGGGCACGGACTGATTAATTTCTTCAAAAGTTATTTTTAGGATTTAGCTAAAATAGTGTTGAAAAAAAAAGTTGTTAAGAGGAATCATAACTATAATGGTGATCTTACGGCATTGTTTGCTTTGAAGGAATTACAAGAAAGGAAGTGGCAAGGAAAATAAAACAAAAAAGGTGATGAGAAGGAAAAAAAATAGATATTGAATTGAAACTGTTTGCCTTGTTTTGTTGACTAGAAAATCAAAAGAAAAAAAATCTAATTTTTTTATTAGAAATTCAATTTTAACTTTTTGCAAGGAGTTGGAATGCGAGCCACAACAATGGCCAGATAAATTTTTCTTCTCAGATTTTACTAAGGATTGGTAGAGCATTGTCAAGGAAAAAAAATGCAATTATTCACATTTCTTAGGTGAATCTACTAAGCTATTTTTGGCATTCGAACCAAACATCTAATATTGAAACTATTAATAAAATGCATTTTCATTCCTCTCAATTCTTTGGATCAAATCAAACATGTCATAAAGCTTGTTGCTTTGTTACTATACATGTGATTGACTAACAATTTCATGTAGCACCACACTGACCACAGAAAAATAGTCCATTTCATATCAAGAAAGTTTGTTTTCCTCTAATTATTCAAATTTTCAGTGGGTTTCTCGCAAAAATTCACGTGTTCATAAAAAGCTCCACTGAAAGTGGTTTCAATGACCCAAATCCACGGTAAAAGACTTCTCGAGCTAATTTTTGCTAGATTGTCAGAAATTTCCGGCAATCATATGGTTGGAACTCAAAAAGTTTCTTGTGAGTTACTCTTTGATAGTTACCTATAGAAAATTTGTCGATAACCTCATGTATTTATTTTTTGGCAGCACTTCGCTAATGATTCAATCCTTCACTCATTATCAATCATACATATTATCATGTATGAAATGAAAAATAAAAAAAAATAGTTACTCTTAAAATAGAATTATAGCATGCATGCAATGAAAAACATAATTAAGTTTTAAAAATAAAATTTAGTTGAGAATATTAATCCTTATCATTCTATTATTCTATTGCGGCTTGTTTCTGACTCATCCATCGTTGTACCGTGGCATCGATATATGCTTGTACTTTCTCATTATATGAGCTTGAAGATCTTTAGTCATAGCAATTATCTAGCATAACACAATCTATTGCAGGTCATTCCCTACATAACTAGGATAAGGAGTATAGGATTTTTGGGCATCTAAGTTATTGTCTCCACCCACCCTCCGTTCCCTTTTTTTTTAAACAGTGATTTGTGTCCGTTGTCCACAACCTAATTGTTAAGGTGATACACTCGAGCATCCCTCTCTTAGAGAGTTCTAGCTTTTGTATCTCTTAATCCCTTGTACTTATCCTGCATAAGATTATTATTCATGGGATTTTTTTAAAGTTAAATAATCAACATTCCAATAATGAAGTATGAATACTTACATAAATGCTCTGCAATCTGTGTTCCAACTAATACTTGTCTGCCTAACCCCTAATACTTCATGTGCAACTCCAATATGGAAATGCCTTTTCATGACATTCATTTCTCTTGAAGTGCTAAAAAATAAATAGAAAATATAAGAAGAAAAACACGTGTAAATTTACATTCTCCATCCTCCTCCTATGTTTCATGTTTGAGCCTCAAGTGAGGAGAATGTTACCTATGCCTCTTGGCCCACACACCCGCGCCAATCAACTCTGCCTTTTGGTTAGATCTGTGAATATCGATAAACATATCTCATATGCATATTGAGCCGTTTTGCTCGAAGTTCCTATTGATTTATTCATGTGTCTATGGAAGCTAATAAAGGTTCTTATGCAATAGAAAATAATTTATTTATATCTCCAAGTTCAGAATTTTAGGGCAAAAAGTGCAAAATTTATCAATTCAGGTTCACAAAACTACATGTCGTGAACTCTTGAAGGTGTCTTCTTCCATGATACATAAGAAGTATCAACCTTGCTCCTTATGATATATCTAATCTTATGTGTTGCTTGTTGAGGTTTGTTAAACATGTTTGCTCGAAATTGAAAAAATTAGAAAACTATTAAATCTGTCATGTTTAAGTCTTATGTATCACCTTCAGGCTCAATATGTTGTATGTGATCATGTGTTGAAGGTCTGCACTCTGTTTTAGGTCAGGTAGTCATGTGGTCGTGGTGTCTACTAGAGGGATAGTAAGAGGGGTCAAGGTAGCTAGACCATTCAACAAAATGAAGTGGTGGATGGTAATAGCTGGTTGCACGTAGGAAGGATGGTAGTATTTAGGTGATCTTGGGATTGGCTAAAGCGTGAAAATGAATAAAATAAACTTGAATCTGCAATGATGGGGAAGGGTTAGAATGGCGGGCTAGGAAGTATAAATATTACACTTGGCAATGGTGGTGATAGTGTTAAGTGGAGTGGAGGTCATGGTAGCTGAAGTTAAGGTCATTGTGGTAGTGGTGTTGGCATCAATCTTCTTGCACTGCCTCTGCCTGGAAAAATAATTATAGCTTTTATAAATTTTTTGCTATATCATTCCTCCATATGACATCTACTAAGACTAAAAAAATAATCGGTAAATATACATTGCAAGTTTATATGATGTGTACAAGTGTACGTGAAAACTATAAATGATAAATGTCTGTCTTTACTATGAATGATAACAACTGTTGCATTTACAACCAAACGCTATAATATCGTCAATCCTATATCCCATTAACCACTAATCAGTATATTAACTATCATTGAGCATCAGAATATAACTAGGGAACCATGGGCGGATCCAGTTAGCCTCCAGGGTGGGCAATTGCTCACCCTCAAATTGTAGAAATGAATAAGATGAGGGGTAGTTTCGACCTCCCCCCCTCCCCCTAAATTTATTTATTTTTGCCCTAATCTAAAGCATTTGCCCAACTCCCGCTTGAGTCTTTGATGCCTTCATTTCGCCTCTTCACACACATGGCAGTAGACACGCCAACACAGCTAGATGAATGCATTGAGTTTTCCCACCCTAAAAAAAGGCTGGATCTGCCCCTATAGGGAACTAACAAGTTGGGTAGTTCTTGTTGACAACACCAAGAAAGGGAAATAGAACGAAAAGTGAATAGGAAACAGAGAATGCTTTCATATCTCTTTCACTATATTACAACCACTATTTATAGACATCTTACAAGACAGAAGTTACAACATGACAAATACAAAATGACATGTAGATGAGTCTGTTACAAAACGTTCTGCTTACATCCCCCCTCAAACGATGATGAATGAGCATCAACCAGTTTATTGGAGAGTTGCTTGAATCTGAGAATAGGAAGAGATTTGTGAATATATCAGCTAGCTGATCAGTACATATGTGTTGCACAAAAATATGCTTGGCACGAATATAGTCCCATATGAAATGATAATCAACTTCAATATGTTTAGTACGAACATGAAACACCGGATTGTTAGCTAATGCAATAGCATAAGTATTATCACAATAAACTATAGTAGGTTTAAGTTGAGGAATATGAAAGTCCTCCAATAAACGACATAACCAAATAACTTCTGAGGCTTCATTAGCTAATGCTCGATACTTTGCTTCAGTAGAAGATCGTGTAACCGTAGTCTGCTTTTTAACTTGCCGCGATATAAGAGATTTACCCAAGAAGTTGCAATAACCAGAAACTAATTTTCGGTCATTAGAATTGCTAGCCCAATCAGAGTCAACATAACCACTTACCGTGAGATCCTCACTGTGTAAAGAAAGAAATACCTTTGTCAGAAGAGCCTTTAATATAACGAAGTAGTCGCTTAAGGCTTTCAAAATGTATGTTAAGCGGCTTGTGCATTTGTTGACTAAGTTGGTGAACGACAAACTGGATGTCCGGACGTATTAATGTGAGATACTGCAATGACCCAATCAATTGCCAATATAATTGTGGATGTGCAAATTCTTCATTGGACATAGTGGTGAGTACTGTTTTGGTCGGAAGTGGAGATAGAAATAGCTTTTGCATTTTGCATTCCTGCTTGTTCAATAATCCGATTGACATAATGTTGTTGATGAAGTAAAACTCCATATGATTTAGACACTGCTTCTATACCCATAAATTGGGTTGAAGACCCAAATTATGCATCTGGAATCTCTTTTGTAGATTACAGAGAAGCCGATTGATCTCTATTTGTGAGTTACTGGTTAGAAGAATATTATCCACATAAATCAAGATATACATCCGAACTGATCCAACCTTGTAAATGAGAAGCGATGGATATCCAACACTTATTTGAAAGCCAAAATCCTGTAAATGATTTGATAGAGTCGCATATCATTCTCTCGGGGATTGTTTAAGACCATATAATGCCATCTTTAATTTGCAAACATAATGAGGACGAATTGTATCTTAAAATCCTTGTGGTTGTTGCATATAGACAATTTCTAATAAAGCACCATGCAAGAATGCATTAGAAATGTCTAATTGATGAATCTCCCACTTGTATTATAATGCAATGAGAATAAGAACATGAATGGTAGGCATCTTAGCTATAGGACTAAACGTCTCGATATAGTCAATGCCATGTTCTTGATTAAATCCTTTAGCCACTAATCAGGCTTTATATCTTGCTATTGAGCCATCAAAGTTTAGTTTAGTACTAAACATCCATTTGCATCCAAGAACATTTTGATTCGAGGAAGGTGGAACTAAATCCCATATTCCTTGAACTTGAAGCGCTTGAAACTCTTGCGATATCGCAGCACGCCAGTGCTGACTTTTAACTGCTTGATTATAGGTGGTAGGCTCAACCGGTTGAAGAACATGAGATAAATCAAAGATAATTTTCGGTTTAGTGTTACCACTTTTGAATTTGGTAATCATGGGATGAGATGCTGGTGGCTGATTAGGACAAATAGGTTGTGAAGTATTTGGAGATGGAATAAAATTTATGAGGATATCTGGCTCAGGTTGATGGTTGAGGGTAGAGCTTGTTGGCTGCAGAGTGGATGACAAGTTTTGAACTGGAAATGTAGGAGTAATTGGGTTAGGTAAACCTGAAGTGGGAACAAGTAGAAGAGGAGGTGTATTGGTCTCGGTGGAGTTTGAAGTATATATTATGATAAGTTGACTTATTTGAGAAAGGTAAGACAGCTTCGTTGAATACAACATGGCAAGACGTGTACACTTTGTTTGTTGCCATATCATAACAGCGGCCTTTTTGGAGGGGTGCATAGCTAATGAAAACACATGAGTAAGAGAGAGGGGACAGTTTATTGGATGAATAAGATTTAAGCCATAGATAGCATAAACATCCAAACACCTTAAAAAAATTATAATCAGGAGATACACCATGGAGAAGTTCGAATGGTGATTTATTTGAGGTGTTGGAAAACGATAGTAGATTTATCAAGCAGACAACTGTCATGAGAGTATCAACCCAAAAATATTTAGGCAGAGAAGCATGAATAAGAAGTGTACGAATGGTTTCAATGATGTGACGATGTTTCTGTTCTGCCACACCATTTTGAGGTGGAGAATAGGGACAAGTGAATTGGCGAGTTATACCATTGTGATGTAGTAACATGTTGAATTTGTTGTTAACAAATCCCCCCCCCCCTGGTGCGAAGAACACAAATATTAGATTGAAATTGGCATTGAACCATTCTTTGGAAATCCAGAAATTTATGAATGACTTCAGATTTGTGAGTTAACGGATAAACCCACGTATATTTGGAAAAATCATCAATAAAGGATGCATAATATCGATATCCTTGGTTGGAAATGGATGGGGAAGGCCCCCAAACATTAGAGTGAACTAAATAAAAAAGAGAGAGACTGACACTTTGAGAAATAGAAAATGGTAAATGATGGCTCTTGGCCATCCGACACACATTACACATGACAATTTTTGATCGATGCAAATAGCTGCATTATTTTTAGCAAGACTTGAAAGTGTTTGAGAGGATTGGTGACCGAGCCGCCTATGCCAAAGATCCAGAACGGCTTGTATGGACATGAGAGCACGCCTTGGGCTGTTTTTCTTGAAAGGGATAGATGCCACTAATACATGGTCTCGTGAGAAGAAGTTGACGGCTCATCTTGTCCTTGATTTCATATCCATGGATGAAACAGTTATGAGACAATTGTTGTCAGCGGTTAGACGATAAACCGATAATAAGTTGAATGAGAGATTTGGAACCAGATTTAATTGGGATAGTTTAAGGCTACCTGTGGGTGTATGAAGGATACCTTTACCTGTTTTATGTATTGGTAGCTGATGTCCATTTCCAAGAACCACCTGATTCTTTCCAGTATACGCTTGTGCTTGCTGTAATTGAGTTGGATCAACAATTAGATGTGTTGAGGCTCCACTATCATGATACCACTCGGTTGTGGCAATTGGGGAAGGAGAACTGAACAACACAGCTGTAGGATGTTCAGTATTGTACTGTTCATCATGGCAATACCAGTATTTGACTGCGGAGTGTCCAAATTTGCCGTAAATTTGACATGTAACAAAGGTTCTTGGTTATCTGGCTCCATGAGATGAAGTGTTAGATTGTTGACGGCTATTGGAATAGTTCCTTCCACGAGACTAATTCGTTCATCCTCGACCACGACCACGAGTGACCATGAGAGCCATTGTGCTGCCAGATAATTGGAGAGATTGAATTTCTCTAGTTGCTTCATGTGCAAGGTTGAGTTCCTCATTGCATAACAAAGTGTAACGATCATCCAAACTTAATGGTTGTAGGTTAGTATGAATGGCCGTTTTGACTAGTTGATATGTTGTTGGAAGGCCATTTAGCATATAATGAATAATGTCTTCAACGTCAAAGAGGAGCTCCAGCCGATGCTAACGAATCGTTCTTTGCTTTGACCTCAAGAAGATATTGATTCATAGATTTTTCTTTCATGGATAAGTAGTGCATTTCATTTTTAAGTTGTATAATTCTTGATCGAGTGCTGGACTGAAGGCGACGATCAATGGTTGTCCAAATCTCAGTGCAATGTTCAACCGAAAGAACATAAGGAAGAATAGTGAGAGAGATGACTGAATATAATGCTGCAACAAGGTTTTGATCCACCAAAATCCAATTTATATGAAGTGGATTGGATATAAGCTGACCAGTTTCGATGTGTATGGATCGTGTTGGACAAGCGCTGGACATCCAAGAATCCCTCAAATCCATTGGCTCGAAATAATTTGAGAACTTGCGATCTCCATAGTGGATGATTCTCCTCTGTAAGAGGCTGAGATATAAAATTCTTGATATTACTCATCAAGAATTTGAGAGCCGAAGATATTTGAGGAGAATCGTATGAAGCAACTAAGCCAACAACTTGAAATTGATTTGTTGATGACATCTTGAATCTTGGAGTAGGAATAAAAAAACGAGAGAAAAAAAAATCTGAGTAGAAATCAGATCAAGACTCTGATGCCATGTTGACAGCACCAAGAAAGGGAAACAGAACGAAAAGTGAATAGGAAACAGAGAATGCTTTCATATCTCTTTCACTAGATTACAACCACTATTTATAGACATCTTACAAGACGGAAGTTACAACATGACAAATAACAAGATGACACGTAGCTGAGTCTGTTACAAAACGGTCTGCTTACAGTTCTTAGCAGCCATGTGCCAACGATGGCTCCTGCTATATCTCAAATGTCATCAATCGGCATTGAGGATGCATCAAAATTTGAAACTCTAACAAGGAATTACATAAGCATGCATTACGTAGATGGTAGTATGTGAGCAAGCAAATAGGCAATAGCTGAATGTTAGCAAATGAGCAAGTAATACCAATCAACAAAATTTCAGTCTAAAGAATTCAAAATTAGCCATTCTTCTGTAAGGATATCTTGATTTATCACAATATTCATTCTGAATTTAACTACTTTCAACTAATGTTATTAACCATTAAGGTTATTAAAGAACTAAGATGCTAAAAATAAACTTACAGTCAAATTTCTGGATTGATTATGTTCTACATTAATCCGTCTCGTAATACAAGAAAGTTACTGTTTTTGCATTTAAGGAACTGCTATTGCCATCTGATTCTCTTACCATCCTAGAAAGTGTGATTAAAGTCATGGAGCTTTGCTTGCACCACTCTAATGGATCAAATGCATTTCTCTTATCAGATGGAAGCTGTATAGGTGCTTCCTTATGATAAATTTCAAGCTCTGATTTATGTGGTTGTGTATCACCATTAGAGCTCAAGAAATCATTAAATTGAAGCAAGATGGACTAACAACAACTAGAGAAAATCTAACATTTGAATCAAGATGAATTGATTGTGATATATAAGTTAATTCATTACTGTTTTCTTTTTTCTTTCTTTACTTTTTTGTGACAGGATGAGCGCTCAAATTCAATGCACTAATATTGTTAAATTTATTTTCAATCAGTATGCTATGAATTTGAGCACATTATTTTCTCAAAATTTAGATAGTATTGGGCACAGTGTGATATAAAAATATGTCAATGTGACTATTATGCACCTCCTTAAATTTGACATCATGATCTAAAAAAAGATAAGCATATTATATAAACAAAAGTTAAGGATCTAAAACAATATCAATGGCAATAAAAAAACTACATTCAGAATAATACTTATCAAATTTATGTCCATGGTGGCAAATATTGGTCTTAAAAAATATTATATTATAGAAAGCACTTGTCTAGAGATTCTTTCATGCCTATTAACCCAGGAAAAAATAAATTAATTTTGAGATCATTCATTAATGAAAATAGTTTTCTTGTTGAATCAAATATTTCCAATACATCCCTTATTTAGAAAACTTCTAAGCCCTGTCATCTACGATCCAACTCAATCATTTACCTTTCCAAAAGAAATTGTAATGAACATGCTAAGGCTGGGGCTAAAAAAATGCAAAATAAAGAAGAATTAATAGGAGATCAGGCTGGGGTATTTATCTGGAAATAAGGCAGATATTTCGACTGATTTTCTTTGACAGTAATAAGTTTCTGGTGGATTTTTCACTGAAAATCCATCAAAAACCAGCAATTTTCATGTCAACTATCATTGGAGTTACAGCGGTAAAAAATACCCATAAATTAGATGAAACTGAACAATGGCGGAACGTCCACCAGTATTATATGCAATAAGATTCATGTGCTTTAACTTATTTGATTAACCATTATGCCTGTTTTAACGTTAAATTTGTTACTGTGCAAGTACAGGTAGAGGGCGTCCACCTTTAGATTGGCCCATTAGATTAAAAGTTGCTCTGGGCTCTGCAAAAGGACTGGCATATTTGCATGAAGATTGTAAGCCTCTGCTGCTATGCTATCAATTGTGTTTTAACATTCCCACTTCTTATTTTGCCAACGAATTGTCTGCTAGTCTGTTCAAACCTTTTGTTGCTGGACTTATTTCGCAGGCCATCCCAAAATTATTCATCGTGACATTAAATCATCTAATATTCTTCTGGACTTCAAGTTTGAGCCAAAGGTAGAATATTCAATTTTTGCAATGTCTTTTCTGTTTTTGCTACAAAAGTGTGATGCTTTCCTATGGGTCAACTGAAATGAGTCTAAAACACGCTTGAAACTTCCTTGATTGTTTTTATAGTTGCCACATTGTTATGTTCTTTGATTTGAATTCCAAAATGAATGTCATGGGCCTCATGACAAAGACAAACATTCACTCGGAAAATTATTAGGTGCAGAGACCGGACGTAGAGGTACGTCCGGGCTCCAATAAAATTTTGACACGTGGAGTGGATATGTTGGATTTATTTTTTTACTTTATTTATTTAATATGTATGTGGAACTTTAAGTCAAGCGCGTCAAAAGCGCATGTAAAGTGCAGGTAAAATGCAGGTTAAGCTCAGTCAAAGTGCAGTAAAAAAACAACAAAAGAACAGTTAGAGCGCAACTAAAGTACAACTAAAACGTAGGTAAAGCACAAGTAAAACACAGTCAAAGCACAGTAAAAAAGTGCAACAAAAGAGCAGTCAACGCGCAACTAAAGTGCAGGTAAAGCATCGGTAAAACACACAAAAAAGCGCAACCAAAGTGCATTTCACGTGTAAAATTTTAAGTGGATGTCCGGACATATCTCTACATCCGTTTGCCGCACCTAATAATTTTCCCACTCACTTGGCAGTGGCTTCTCTTTAACATGGAAATTATTAGTTTTCTAGAAATATAAAATTGAACTTTAACCAAATATTGGAAGGTGCACCAGAGGTGAATTTTTTTTTGAAATTATTCCTGTTAGTTGACGTTACGTGCTGCTATAGTGATGATTAGATTACGTCCTTATGTGCAAATGCAAGACTAAAATTTTAGCAATCCAACGGAGTTTTTTCTCCAAAATTTTCCCCTTTTGGACCTTATAATTTTCAGTTGTTCCTGGTTAGCAACAATATTGTCAAAGAAAGTAGAAGAAGAATAACTCATAAGCATTCCCTTCATTTTGTTAAGGTGGTCCTCGTACCTTAGCTAACTATCCACTGCTTATATGCAGGTTGCTGATTTTGGGCTAGCCAAAAGTGCACCAGAGACCAACACCCATGTCTCTACGAGAGTCATGGGAACTTTTGGGTATGATATATTTCTTACGATTTAGACTTCTTTTGGAACGGCTTTTTTATTGCTTCTTGAAGCAGCTTTCTAGTATAAAAAAATTTAATTTTTAAATTAAAAAGCTACTTCAATAAGCAAAAAGAAAACCGCCCCAAAGGAAGCCTTAGACTATTATAATTTGATCGGAAGGTGGTATATACTATCATTAAGGCTTTGTTCATTAAGGCTTTGTTGGGATGACTTTTTTATTGTTTTTTAAAATGGTGTTTTAGTAAAAAATTTAAATTTTTGTACTAGAATTCTGTTTTAAGAAGCAATAAAAAAGTCGTCCCAAATAAAATCTAAGTTGAGACATAAAACACTGGGGACGATTTTTTTCTTATCTTTAGACTAATTGAAATCTATCCTCCAGATATCTGGCTCCAGAGTATGCATCTTCTGGCAAGCTCACAGATAAATCAGATGTTTTCTCTTTCGGTGTCATGCTTCTCGAGTTAATCACAGGTCGCCGAGCTTTTGATTCAAACCAGTCATTCATGGATGATAGCTTGGTTGATTGGGTAAGATTCTGATGGCGGAAACATGAAGCATCATCGTTACACTTCTGCATTGCTGTGTTTTATTCGGTGCACTTTGAGGTCTATAAGATTAGGATTGTTTTCTATATCATTTTCTTGCAAGTTTATAGCTTTATGAAAGTTGCTATCTCTTTTACGAGTAATTGAATTCATTTCTTGTTACTTCAGGCAAGACCTTTACTTTCACGGGCTCTTGATGATGGAAACTTTGATTCCCTTGTTGATCCACGACTGGCCGGGAGGGATTATAACTACAGTGAAATGAGACGCATGATTGCTTGTGCAGCTGCTTCTGTGCGCCATTCAGCAAAGCGGAGGCCTCGGATGAGTCAGGTATCAATCTATCTTTTTCATATATTTGATTTTCTAGCCATTGACAATCTTATTTTCTCGGGCATTGTTTGGTTTGGTATTATATGAAGGAAAAAAATTATAACTAATTATTATATAAATTTATATTAGCAATTTAATCATTAATAAAAAGAAAATGAAAATGCTTATGTTGGCATGCTTACTGAATCATCCAATCGGCACTATGTGTGCCGACTCTTGCATTTTTTTTTTCAGCCCGTTGGGTCGAATTAGCACAACATTTGCCGAGTCTTGAGTTTATGTTTTTTTTTTCTAGGCCGCTGGGGCAAGTCGGCACAACTTGTGCTGACTGTTGAATTTATTTATTTTTCCAAACCTAGGAGCCACTTGGCAGTTTTAAGCAGACTTCGTTTGGTGCTTTTTTTGTAAGCGTTTATTGAACTAAATTGTTGATTATTTGACCCGAAAATTCATTGTTTCTATTTTAGAATTCTATGCATTGTTTCAAAATCTTTTTAGGTGCTTGACAGGTAATGAAAAATTTTACTTTTTTTTTTAATTTGTTAAAGTTAAAGAGTATTATCATATTTCTCAAAGAAATTTTAAAATTCAATAAGTTGCTTCAAATTTTATTTTTTTTGAATATTTTGTTTTGATTGAATGGTAAGGAATGAAAAGAATATTGTGTTATATTTTATCTCAATATATGCACGAAAATAATTATATCATTTAAATATGGATGCTGTAAGGAGAAGTTTTTTTTTTACTGTATAAATGTAGAAAAAATGTTTTAAAGTTTCTTTGAAAATTGATTTTTTTTTAAAGATTTTAACATTATGTTAAAATAAATTGTAAGTGTTATAAAAATTAAATTATATACATGTTAAATCCTAATAAATTATAAAATTTATTATTAAAATAATTTTGTTAACATTGAATGTGAAAGTGTAATTGTACAAATAAGAGTTGTACAACTCATAAGTAGTCTTGGATTACAACTGTACAGTTAAGAGATGTATAAATGTCATAATATTTTTTTTAAGTTATTACTTGTAAGGACCGGTCACATTTTTTTAGCTATAAAGTTGTATTGTTAAATCAATTTCGCAGAACTGTATTATCATGTCAATTTAATAGTTTTGATGAAGTGATTTTTAATATCTATCACTGAGCTGCTATTCCTATGCTATATAAGTTGTACATGTACAACTGAATTGAATCACTGAGACCAATCTCTTGTAGGCTTTAGTTTGTTTTGAATAGTTTTTCTCTATCTTTCTTTTTTAGTTCGTATTGTATTTGTCGATTATGGAGAAGATTTGAGGTATTCCTGTGAACTTTCTCTAGGACTGATTTCATGAAGTAGGACGTGACAGAGATAATTGTGTGCTTGATTGTTAAGAGGCCAACTATCGATATAGATTATTGTATTCTTTACCATCCAAGGTATCCTGGGGAGGATGAATTCCTCTTGAAATCCTATAAGAAGCTGATGGGAAATGTTGTGGTAGGGCATAAGAAAGACAGAGAAGAAAGAGAAATGTTGAAATCCCTCATCAATTAATTCCTTCCTTGGGGATACTGCGAATGTTCTCAATAATCGATGAATACATTACGAACTAATAAAAAGATAGAGTTGAAAGTCTTAAAACAAACTAAAGTTTATAAGAGACTGATCTCAGTGATCCAATCTAGGGGTATCAATATTTGACCCGAATTGAAATATGACCTAGAAAATTTTGGGTTGGGGTCAACCCGTTTGCCTGATGGGTCAGTTTTGGGTTCCACTTTTTGACCTGTTTATAAAATCGGATTGGGTTTGTGTTGACCCGAAAATCAGAATTCAACCCGGCTGGCCGCCCCAAATTAACCCAGAGCAATATATGAAGCCACAAAATAGACAAGGAGAGCTCGACTGAGGTAGGGCAACCTAAGTAGAAGTGAACAGGGATGCAAGGGTATGGTCAGTGTGGGCTTGTTTGGATGCATGTCTAGGATTTGCTTTTCCTCTTCTAGTCTTCTGCATTTATTCATTATTGTTTTGCCTCCTCTGATGTTGTTCCTGTCGGATCGGAGTTCTGAACTGGTCCAAGCTTCTTCGCCTCCTCCTCTGACATTGTTCCTATCGGATCGGAGTTTTGAACGGGTCCAAGCTTCTTTGCCTTCTCCTCCGACGTTGCTCCAGTCACTTGTCAAATCAGAGTTCTGAACAGATCCAAGCTTCTTCACCTCCTCCTCCGATGTTCTTCCTGTTGGATTGGAGTTTTGAATGGGTCCAAGCTTCTTCGCTCTTAGCCTCCTCCTCCGATGTTGTGTTTGTCGCCTCAAACAGCCCCTGAGTGTAGATGTGACTACTGTAATTAGTTGGATCGGGTCAACCTGGCAACTTGGCAGGCTGAGTTCTGGTTGAAATTTTTGACTCGTTTACAAAACTGGGTCGGATTAGGGTCAACCCGTTTGGACCCGGGTCAATTCGGGTTGGATGCTAACTCGACCCGTTGACCCATTTTAACACATCTAATCCAATCCAACTATACATGTATAACTTATATAGCATAGGAATAACAGCTCAGTGATGTGAATTGAAATTAAAAATCACTTCATCAAAATTATTAGTACTGTTAAATTGACATGGCAATACTTGCCTACAAAATTGATTTGACAATACAACTTTATAACTCAAATAATGTGATTGGTCACTGCAAGTAATAACTTAAAAAAAAATACTATGGCATCTGTACATATTTTAGCTGTATAGCTATAACCCAAAGCTACATGTGAGTTGTACAACTCTTACATGTACAATTACACTCTCATTTAGTGTTAACAAAATTATTTTAAAAAATAAATTTTTATAATTTACAAGTAAATTTTTGCTGATGATATTCTTCTTGTTATTAAGACTGGAGTGGAGTTGAAGGTAAACTCGAATTATGGAGGTCAACTTTAGAGTCTGAAGGTTTTCATTTGAGTATATTTAAAACCGAATATAGGAGTGTAATTTTAGTATTAATAGATCTAGTGGAAGGTTTATGACTTTGAGCGATCAAGTCATTAATAAGTGTACTCATTTTGAATATCTTGGGTCTATTATTCAGAGTGATAGTGAAATAAATGGACATATTATTAGTAGAATTCAAGTTGGATGGTTGAAGTGGAGGAATGCTTTGGGTTTGTTGTGTTATAGAAAAGTACCACTCAAATTTAAGGAAATTTTTTATAAGATGGTGGTGAGACCTGTAATGCTTTATGGCACAGAATGTTGGCCATTAAAAGAGAAGCATAGTATTAAGTGTTGCTGAGATGAGAATGCTCAAGTGAATGAGTGGATTTACTCTTAGAGACAATATATGAAACGAGCATATCCGTGAAAAGGTTGGAGTAGTTCCAGTGACAGATAAGATTAGAGAGAGTTGTCTTTAGATTGTTTGGTCATGTAAAATGACAGCCTTCCGATGACCCTGTTAGGAGAGTAGATGTATTAGATTTAATCTATGTTAAGAAAAGTAGAGGTAGACCTTAAAATACTTGGTTAGAAAATATTAGAAATGACCTTTCAGGATTCATGTAGCCGACCACACTTAGTGGGATAGAGGCTTGATGTTGATGTTGATGTTTGATGTAGGCAAGAAAATTTGTCTACAAATACAAAATTTGCAGCTCTTCCAAAATTGACCTATTTCAAACCATATATACCAAAAAAATGACTAATAGAATGACTTAACAACAAAACTACAAATTATAAATGATATGATAACAAAGACACATTAAAAGACACTTAAACACATAATACATTGATAATAAGATAAGTTGAGAAGAAAGATACAATAGAGTGATAACCATGGAGAGAAGTAGATAAGAAGTCCGAGGCGAAATCAAAGAGAGGAGAAGAGAAAGGGAACTAGCTTGCAAGCTAGAACACAACCCACAGGTTTCACATTCCAAATATTTTCTCACCAAAAAACTCTCCTAAAATAGCCACAAAACAGCACTTATATAGGGGAAGAAAAAGTAAAAAAAGATAATTAATATATGTATTTAATGTGCCTCAAAATCAGCTAATAGAATACCCTTGTAAACCGCAGCAAGCAGGAACCGAAGGGGCAGCCATCTGGGGAAGAAACTGAAGCATCAAAACAGTCCCAAAAGTGGGGGAAAACCGAAGCATTAAATTGCTCATAAAGGGGAATCCGAAAAGGCATCTTTTGGGAATTAAAATTGACACGGGGAACACCAAAAGACCTCTTTTGCATACATCAATTCTCCCCTGGTTGAGAGTTCTCATCCCCTGATGAGATGACTTTAAAACTTTTTTGACGAGTTGAAGGTGTCACATTCAATTCTTGAATCAGAGCCGCCTACTTTTTTTGGATCATTTCTTTTTCTTTCTTTGGATCCTCCATTTATTGATGAGGGTTCATAATTTTTTTAATTTTTTGAAATAAAAAGGAAGACACCAAAACCTAAGCTCTGATACCATTTTGATGTAGGCAAAAAAATTTGCCTACAAATACAAAATTTGCAAGCCTTCCAAAATTGGCCTATTTCAAACCAAATATACCAAAAAAATGACTAATAGGACGACTTAACGACAAAACTACAAATTATACATTATATGATAACAAAGACACATTAAAAGACACTTATACACCTAATACATTGATAATAAGATAATTTGAGAATGATACAATTGAGTGGTAACCATGAAGAGAAGAAGTAAATTAGAAGTCCGAGATGAAATCAAAGAGAGGAGAAGAGAAAGGGAACTAGCTCGCAAGCTAGAACACAACCCACAGGTTTCACATTCCAAATATTTTCTCACCAAAAAACTCTCCTAAAACAGCCACAAAACAACCATTATATAGGGGAAGAAAAAGTAAAAAAAGACAATTAATACATGTATTTAATGCACCTCAAAATCAGCCAATAGAATACCCTTGTAAACCGCAGCAAGCAGGAACCGAAGGGGCAGCTGCCTGGGGAAGAAACCGAAGCATCAAAATAGCCCCAAAAGTGGGGGAAAACCGAAGCATTAAATGGCTCATAAAGGGGAAACTGAAAAGGTATCTTTTGGGAATTAAAATCGGCATGTGAAACACCAAAAGATCTCTTTTGCCTACATCAATGTTGATTAGGATTAACCACATATATATGATTTAATTTCTCCACCAGTTAAAATTTCTTTTAATTGTTAATATCTTTAAAAAAAAAAAATTCAAAGAAACTTCAAAACATTTCTTCTACACTTGTACATAAAAGACAAGATTTCTTTTTATAGCATCCCTATTCAAATGACATAATTATTTTCGTGCATATATTGATATAAAATATAACACAATATTCTTTACATTCCCTACCATTCAATCAAAATAAAATATTAAAAAAAAGTTAAAGCAACTTATTGAATTTTAAAATTTTCTTTGAGAAATATGATAATAATCTTTAACTTTAACAAATTTTAAAAATGTAATTTTTTATATTAACTGTCAACCACAAAAAAATCAAAACAATGTATAGAATTCTAAAATAGAAACAATTAAATTTTTGGTCAAATAATCAACAATTTAATTCAATTAAAAAAAAAAACATCCCACGAAGTCTGCTTAAAACTGCCGACTAGCTCCCAACTTTAGAAAGTAAATAAATTCGATAGTCGGCATATGTTGTGCCGACTTGCCTCAGCGGGCTGAAAAAAAACAAACTCAAGAGTCAACAAATGTTGTGCCGATTCGCCCGCTAGGGAAAAAAATCCCTCAAGAGTCGGCACTACATGCCAATTATAAGCATTTAATTTTTTTTATTGATGATTAAATTGCTAACATAAATTTATATAATAATTAGTTATAAACTTTCTCCTAATTTATTTATTTTAGTGCTACCTTCTTTAAACAATGCAATGTCATTTAATTGATCAATGTTGATTATGCTATTTATTTATTTTTCTATTTATCTAAGGGGCCTTTTGGGCAGGTAGATATTATAAACATTTTTTTTTATAAAGTCAAACAACAGTTTTTTTTAATTACTATCATGTCCTAGTATATTTGATTATAAAAGCCTATTTCTCGTGACAAAAAATTTTGAAAAATAATAAGAAAGCTATAGTGAAAGTTAACTATGGTAGTCAACTTGAAAGCAAAATTATGAAAAAATTATCTCAAAAGGATACTAAGGTTTCGTTTGAGACAGCTTCTTTGTTGTTTTCTAAAACAGCTTTTTAGTAAAAAAATTCTTGAAATTGTTGCACTAAAAAGCAGTTTTATAAAATAGCAAAAAAATAGTCCCAAATGAAGCCTAAGTATTAATACATTTGTGTGGAATATAGATGATTATAACATATGATTCGTAGATCTTTTATAAAACTAATCTTCATCTATATGTCATGGCAAACAGTTGATATATATATGCCAATAACATAATACTATAGTTCTTTTGACAATAAATATTAATCCTCTCTGATTCGAAAGCTCTTTAACTAATTCTAATCATTTAATTCTTCACAGATTGTTCGGGCCTTGGAAGTAGATATATCGTTTGATGACCTGAACGAAGGAGTTAAACCAGGCCACAGGAGTGTCTATGGCTCTTACACGAGCTCGGACTACGATGCCATGCAATACAATGATGATATGAGAAAATTCAGAAAAATGCCATTAGCAAGCGAGGAATATGGGAACAGTGGATATAGTGCACCAACAAGTGAGTATGGCTTGGATTTGAAACCTTCTGGATCGAGCGCTGAAAGCCGAGAAAGCCGAGATGCTGGAGAAATGGAGATGAGTGGCAGGATGAAGAAGGAGAGCCCAGGCTTTTAGCATTTACAGTAGAAGGGGCTGTTTATCTATGAAATATAGCTTTTTTTCTCTTTCTCAGGTCATTAATCTTCCTGATTGTAGAGATGTGAGCTTTGCCAGGATTTGCCTGACTAGAAATTTATGTTCTTTGGACGAATATTGAGATTGCAAAAAAAAAAAAAAAAAGTTCATATTCTTCAAGAGGATTGTTTGCTTAAGGGCAAGGGTAAATTATTAGGTGTGGACATCGGACGGAGAGAACCGTTCGATTTTCTCTCTATCTATAGTCGAAGTGCAGCTGCTATAGTAACTGTGCTTTGACTATAGACAGAGAGAAAACCGGACGATTCTCTCCACCCGGTATCCGCACATAATAATTTCTCAAGGGAAAGAGGGTCCAAGGTTCAATATTCATATCATTACTTTCTGTTAGCTGGGTTTTACTGTTGGTCACTGAGCAGTTTATTGCAGCTGAACAGCAGCACAACTCACAAGCTGCTCAAATGAGATATTCTAAAGGTTTCATTCATGAATGTATGCTATGCAAACAAGCAAGAAGTGACTTAGCTAGGAAAAATCTGCATTCCTAGCCACGCTTAAATAGGACAATAACAGTTGTGAATAATATTATTATGAGAAACGTGAGTAAAGATTCTTAAATATGAGAACTACGGCCAATGTATAAATGTCTTATCAAATGTAAGTTGTCTTTGGATATAAATTTTTGTATTCAAATATAAGGATTAATTAGATATAAGGTGTTTTAATTTAGTTATAGATTTAGTGTTTGTTTGAGATTGTTGTAGTGTTTTATAAATTTGATTATGAAGTTGTTTCCAAAGTAAAGCAACGAGAAAATTTTTCCAAATGGAACGGTAATTAATATATAAAAATTATTAATAAAGTGTTTCACTTAGGCAGTGGAAAATGAATTTTAATGTATGTTTGAAATTTTTGTAGCCGACCCCACGTAGTGGGATAAAGGCTTGATGTTGTTGTTGTTGTTTGAAATTTTGAATTAGAAAATTTTAAAATTAAATTCACGACCTTCTAAGCTCTAATTTTGAAAAATTTATAGCCAAACTGAATATCTTGACAAGATGAACTCATAGATAAAAACAATGATTTGATTCGAGTCCAAATAAACCCAAATCAATATTTGAAGATTTATAAAGTTTGGGATTGTAATTGAATAACAAATAATATCTAAATCTTGAGTGCTTATAAACAAATTGAATGTGCTGATAAGATTAATCGAACAAGCCAAAGAGCACTTGATTTTGATATCATTAAGACACTTATATGTGAAAAAATCATATATGATCAAGAAAATTAATACAAATCATTCAATAGATTATACCAAAATTTATCTATATTTACTAGAAGTGCCACTCTTAAAAACTCTATAATGACTTAAGATGTATTGAACTATAAGCTATGTATTTATTTTTTTATCAGAGAAATAATGATTTGTGTTGAACTATAAGTCTTGACATTTTTTTATATTATATTATATTTTATGATGGTGTGATTATGAGATATTCTAGGATAAAATATATACTTGATTTGAGAATTAATCTTATATATTTAAAATGCTCAAGTGATGCAAAGCAAAAGTTTTTGGGGCATTAAGGTCCCCATGATTATTATAAATTTGTCAAAAAAAAAAAAAGAAATTTATGATGAACCAAAATTTGTCAAAAAAAAAAAAAAAAAAAAAAAAAACTGTGGGGGTTAGGTGGTTATATTGCGGGTTAGATCGTTAGTGTGAACTAAAGTTATGTAGATGAAAATTCATCATAAATTTCTAGCATATTATTTACAGGTAATTATTGGTTGATTTTGAGTTGGATAATTAAATATAAAAAAAGGGATTACATATTAACACAAAGTTAAAACTTTAATAAACACTAAAACCTTTAACATAGAACAAATAGAAATTAATTGCAACAAAGCCGTCCCGTAGATTTGATTCCGAAGTAATGGAAAAGAAATGGAACGGTGCCACAAATTTATGCCACTGGAAGAAGACGGGGAGCAGTGAGACCGCGAAGGGCAACGATATCAGCCAACCCCAATTCATGGAATCAAAGAATTCCGCCGGAAAAACACAGACCTCTGCATTGCTTCCTCCAAGCTGAACCAGCGCTTGGAGAAAGGCGCCAACTTGCTAAAAAATTGACATGCTCTTCTCTCTCCTCCAGCCCCTCCATAGCCCTATCCTCCTCCCTCTACGCCATTTCCGCTGCAAATGTTCTGGCCCGGACATCTCTTTCTACAGAGATGCCTTCGCAAGAAAAATGGCTTTGGCGGGAATCAAACCCCACCACAGGATCGGTAAGCTCGCTCAACTCACTCTTTCTACTCTTCCATTTGCCCTAATTTGGACTTTTCTTGCAGCTCTTGGAGTCTCCGGTGGATCTGATAGCATGGCGCTCTGCGTCTTGACTGCTGGTTGGAAGTCTGAAGGGTTTAGTGGGAAGGTTGACTCATCCGGCTATATTGATGGGCTTTTGGGTATTGTCGTCGACCATAGGTTACGTCCCGAGAGCGTAGAGGAGGCGAGGATTGTGCAAGAGAGGGCGATGAAGATGGGTAAGTTGTAAATTTTTCTTTGTGCTCAATATCCGTTGCTGCTGAACTCTCTGGGATTTGTTGTTTTAGGTATTAGATGCGAGATTTCTTGTTGCATTTGGCCTGACGGAAGGCCAAAGGTTGGTGATTTGCAAGAGGCTGCTAGAGAGATGAGGTGCGCTTTGTCGCTTGAAATGAAATTAGGAAAGATTCTATGAGGATCCTTATTGTTCAATTCTTTTGCTTGTTTTGAAGAATTGAGGGTCCTTGACCTCGTTTACGCTTTATTTATGTGTCTCTCAAATTTGGAGGAGTACATGCCAACACGTGCATATGTTCTGCTTCTTCAAGCACATTCCTTTCCTTTTAGCGGAAGCTTTGTTAGTGGAGTTCTGCACATTTTGTTTTAATTAACTTGTATTTAACTTGATTCTCAGTTTTTTTTTTAACTCTCTTTTTTTATGATGTAATATTGGTTTTCTTTAAAACCCTTTGAAACATTTGTTTTTGCTTTGGAGGAGGATGAGTAGTAGCTGTGTGATTCATAATCTCTGTGGGTTGGTTCTAATCATTGGATTTAGTTGTTAATTTGGATTGATAAAATGTGCAGATTTGTATCATGTCATATTGATCACGCTTTGATTAAAACCCTTTCACTCAATTTTTGATTCTGCCCTTGAGGAGAATGATCCTGAGTAGCATGTGTAGTTCATAATCTCTGGCAGAAAGAAAAGTGGGATGGTTCTAATATTCCATTTTTTGTTGTTAATTTTCAATGGTTACAATGTGATGATTTGTGACCAAGCACTTGTTTTGCATGAGCCACATCATGCTTCCATTTGCTTAAAACATTTCTTCTATTTTTTAGTTTTTTTTTGAGGATATGCAAATAGCATTAAAACTGAAGGAGAAAAGATAGAAAGAAGCTTATGTGATAGAAATCCTATCACAATCCTTCCTAATCAAGCCAACAAACCTTGAAGGAAGTTCACTAAAAACAAACGAATCTAAAAAAAAAATTACCTAAGAGGGCATAATGAGAACAAGGATCCACCACTCTATTTTTTAGTTGGGTACAACAAAATGTGGATTTTTTTGGCTTAATTTTGTAAGTGGCTAAGTGCTAATTTGCCAGAGATTGACAGCTAGTTGGATCTCTATTTTGAGGCTTTTTTTGTAACATAATTTTCCCCAATATTTACAATTTTCATTTTTATGAGTGAAAACTACATACATGTGCATGTCCTCCTTGGTTTCACAACCATAGAGTGGTTCATACATCTTTATGAGTAGGAATGATTTTGTTTCATACAATATGACAAAATATGTCAATTGTTCAACCTTACCGAATTAACCCGTTTGACATCTGGAGCAATTATTCATGCCCTAGCAGCACATCATTTCAAAATAATGCCTTTATACTTCTAAAACAGTTCTCCATGTCTATATATGTTTTGGCCTATAGTATTTTTGTAGATGATTATGCTTCTGATCATGTTCAATTTTTTGTTGTGCAGTTCACTCTTTGTTCTAATGTTTATAGTCTTTCGATGGCTTTTGACTTGTTTTTAACGGAGCATTTTCTATTTTCTGAAGATTTTGTTAAATCTAATATTGTATTAATTCCAGGTATCAAATTTTTCAGGATGTTTGTGCTAAGCAACATATAGGAGTATTACTTGTTGCCCATCATGCAGATGACCAGGTTTTTAACAGGATTGTTGTAACTTGGCTATTTTTTTAATATCATACATGATTTCCTGTCATCTTCTATCTAGTCTTCTATTATTATTCTATATATCTCTTGATTAAGTTTTCATTTTAGTATCATGAATCTAAATGACAGTACATCAATAAAATGGAATTGCTACAAGCAAAAGAGATGTGAAAGAAATAGCTAAAGAAATGAAACTACGTAACTCTAAAAAAGAAATACATGAATGACTCACTACAAAATATAAACATAATAAATATATTCTAGGACTTGTAGATCTGCTTCTGTGGTGATGTTCCACCTAATGCTCCCGTTGGACTTGCTATAAAAAGAAGTAACAACAAGCGAGCTTGATAAATCAAACTCAACAAATAACTCCTACCTATGAAAGTATAAATGACAAGAAGTTAGGCATGTAGTGGGAACAACCTAAAGGTAAGAGTAATAACCAATAATTAATGAATCAATGTAACTATGCCACGTTTTATGATTCATTCGATGAGTTCTAATATGATGATATTACAAATGTGTATGTCAAACAACTACTATTTCAGTATCATTCCAATTTTTAAACATGCAATCATGCTATATATTATTGTACCTCAATATGACTTATCAATCATTCATTCAGTTCATGTCTATTTACATATACTGTATCGAGAAGGTAAACACCAACACGAGGAAATCCAATGATTTTCTATAGATTCATCACTTTGTGAGCTCATTAGCCTGGATAGCCAATATCTAATAGTGTTTTACTGACCTATATATAAGCATATAATTCATATGTTTGCCATAAATAAGTTTTAACGAGTATTTTATATTGAATACGATGATGGTTATTTTAGAGTAAGTTATGATGTGCAAAGATGATATTTATTTCATCTAATAAAATTACATGAATGAAAATATATCTTTTGTAAAAATCAATATACAGGAGTTTATGCTGCAGTAAATCAAGATAAATTTATTTGTGAAACTTATTAATTCATTATGAGCATTAAAAGATATCTACGAGCATATGCATATAATAGAAAATTTTACAATCAAAGGTAGGGCTGTCAACCTAGTTAGTCATTTAAGAACCTAATAAAATTCACATGGATTACACCCCTAATAAAGAAGGAATATTTATTCCCAAAAAAAAAAAGTTACTTATAATGGTTGATATGAATTCCTAATTCAATTGACCGCTCAGTTTCACTAAGCGAAGGATCTGTGAGTACCGAAATCAAACAGTTTCAATCACATAATTCAAGACAAGTTTAGTATTCAAATTGATCTATGTTGCTCACCACAATTGCTAAATTTAATTATCAAAACATGTGATCAATCCTATGGCTCAACTAATTACCTCAAGTGGACCATAAATTAAAAGGTCCCATGAACAATTTTAGCTTAATAATACATCTATAACGCACAACAAAGATATAAGACAGAATAGGATTTGATTTATTCGAACATCAATCTTAAATAAGACTTTCTCCTGATGCAAGCTAAAACCCATCATGATATTAATTCAATGCTATGAAAAATTAATATTAATTGAATATAGCTTAAACATTACAAAAGCGAGAACACCTATTTATATACTTTAGGAACTAAGAATAAGAAAGGAAGATAAAGGAGAGGAGAAAAGTGGAAGAAAACTCAATATTGTAGGAGAAGAAATGGGGACAGTGTTTGCTGTTGTCATCTTAGGGTAAATTTGTGATTAGGATTTCACGAGGAAGAAGGTGGGTTTAGTGGCTGAAGTAAAGAAAGGTCGAGAGGAGAGAGAAAGGTAGCGAGGACTACAAAAGAGAGATGGTGTGGATGCCCTTACCTTCAAACCTTCTAAAATCAAGTAAAGCGGCCCGCAACGACCAGGAAAATCACATGCGAAGGAAATAAATCACATGATTCTCATGTTTGGATAGAGAATCCCTCGTGTGAGGATGGTGTGTGGGCATTGCACGTGAGGGAGGTCTGGTTGGTTCGGCCGATCTCATGCAGAGAGATGGAGAGGGCCGGTTTGCTCGTTTATCTATAATAACTGGACCAGTTCAGTCCAGGTTATAACCCATCGCCTTATAGTTATTTGTTACCAATAACATGAGGCATAATCTTACTGGCTTCAGTTGAGTGTAGATTTTGTTTGTTCTCATCTGTTGCCAATTTGAAATGAAAGCACAAGTTATGCTAATTAAGTTTTCTTCATTATGGCTGTTCGTGCTTAATCTATGTACCATTTAATCTAATATCATACCATATTTTTCAATATTTGGATTTTAAAATACATCAATTTAAGGTCAAACATTTCAGAATTTTCTAATGGATGCATACTATGCTGATAATGAATCATTCATTGATGTAATGTTCTATCACACTCCTTTTTTTCTACTTGGTCCCAATCACTATGTTGAAGCATAAAGAATGTGATTCATGTTCAATTCAGACCACATTGAAGATAGTGAATTAGCTGATATTGTTTAGGGGCCAACTTTATAGTGTAGGAGTTTTTAGGGTCTGGGATTTTATGATACAAATTTAAAATGAGATGCACAAAGAAATATGTCAAAGATCAAAATTTGCAGTTTTCGAACTCTTAGGTTAAAACTATTCTATTTTGATGCAAAATTAAAATAAAACAATGTTGCTCCAAATGTTAATTTTAATATTGTCAAAATTTAAAATTTTTTAAGGAAATCAAGAACAAATGTGAAACCATGAAAGGGCTACACCGCCAAAAGGAAAATTTGATCATAGTAGACTTGACAAAATTTTGATCATTCATGGAAATAATAAGGACAGAAGTCAACAAAGTTCTATGCCTCGCACTTGTACAAGGTGAAAATTTTCTGTTGGAGTTTGTGGCCGACAGCTGCAACAAGTTTAAAGAATTCACATCCACCAACATACAATTTTGAAAGGAATATAAAATTTTACTAAGCCAATCAAAGAAATAAAATGCCCTTCTATTTATTAAAAAAAAAAACCAAAAAATACGCAGCTTTTTAAAAATCCCCCAGAATCTTGTATAGACTGCAAGTTTTGATTTCAGTCATCTTGGATTCCAGCTGAATCCAAAATATCTTCTATTTAAAATATCTTCTCTTTATACAAATGTATCTTTGTGCATGTACATAAATACGTGCACGTGGGTATGCTTGAATATGTGCGAAATGCAAACTACGTCTTTTAATATAGACTCCTCATTGCTTTCAAATTCTAGGATTATAGCTTTACTGGACTCTCTTTGTTTGTTGTATTTTTAAAAATTAGCACAGTCAGTTGATCTACTTGAAGAGTCTTTGGATCTACAGTACTATTTTTTCCATCTGATTTTGACGGTAGGAGCTGATAGTACTTATTTTGATCACTTTTGCACGGTTAATTTCTACCACTTTAGGTAATTGTAATATTTGTATTCCATTCCTCTGGATGCAGGCTGAGTTGTTTATTTTGAGACTGTCACGTAATAGTGGGGTCTTTGGACTTGCTGGCATGGCATTTGTTTCACAGTTATTTTCGGCACCTGTAAATCATCCATGGAGTAGTTCCAGCAATAATGGAGTGCTTCTCGTTCGGCCAATGCTAGAACTTTCTAAAGGTGACATGTATGAAGTGAGTCTTTACCATGCCCAAAATGTTGATAACAATCTTTTTTTTTTGAAGCATTTAATAAATTTTCGAAGAATTTTTTAATTTATTATTTTATTGTTAAAAAGAATTACATCTACGTCTACATCTATATATACACATACACACACTAAAAAAGTGTAATAAATGAAATAGCTAATTAGCTTAATTCTTTCCTAAAATTTAGGAAACAGAATCATAGGAGAATAAATTTTTCTTAAAAATTAGGAAACATAGTCATAGGAGAAGACCACAATCGATCTCTTCTTTTATTCCTACTAAATTCTCTAACTTGGACTTTCAAATATTCAATACTCTCTCGAGTTGTAGAATATATATCATATAATTCAAGCTTGTAAATTAAGTCTTCGAATTTAGGTCTAGGTAAAGCTTTGGTGAGGATGTTTGCATTTTGTTGCTTGCTAGGAATGCATTTAAATTTTATCGTCTCACTAGTCACATTCTTTGTGATGAAGTGTTTGTCAATTTCAACGTGCTTAGTTTGGTCATGATGCACAAGATTCTTAGCTATGTTGATAGCTGTCTGATTATCACATATTATTAGAATGGGAAATGAACTCATTTGTTCAAGTTCACTAAAAACCCTTTTTATCAAAATCCCTTCAAAACTTCCTCATGCTAGTGCTCTGTACTCAGCTTTTGCACTACTTCTAGCTACCGCTGATTGCTTCTTACCCTCCAGGTAACAAGATTATCCCATACAAAAGAACAGTACCTAGAAGTTGACTGTTTGTCAATGCTATTTCCTGCCCAATTTGCATTTGAATACACTTTAGTGTCACGATTCTCTATATTTCTGAAGAATAGGCATTTCCTTGGTGTCTTCTTCAAGTATATGAGAATCCTGTAGACTGCTTTCATGTGTTCTTTTGTAGGACTGTGCATGAATTGACTTACAATGCTCATTGCAAAATCAATATATGGCTAAGTGTGTAAAAGATAGATCAGACATTTAACAAGTCTTTGATATCTCCCATTGTCTACAGAAATGCTTTCTTTCTCGGTGCCAAGTTTCTTTGCACTGTCAATAGGAGTATCAACAGGTTTGCATCAAACTTTCGTAATCAAATATTAAAAAAAAAAAACAGGTTTGCATCAAAGCATACCTGGCTCCTTAAGAATATCTAGAATATATTTCCTTTAAGAAACAACAATGCCCTTTCTTAATCTAACCACTTCGATTCCATGGAAATATTTAAGATTTCTAAGATCTTTTACTTTAAACTCTTATGACAAATACTTCTTTAAATTATGTAATTCATCTGTATCATTCCCAGATAGAATAGTATCATCGGCATAGACTATCAATATAACAATTTTCCTAGCAGGAGATTTCTTGACAAACAAAGTATGTTTAGCTTGATCCTATATGTGGTCTATCTTCAAAACAACTTATGTGAATCTGTCAAATTAGGCCCATGAAGATTGTTTAAGGTTGTATAAGGATTTCTTGTATTTGCAAATCTGATTATTTGCCATACTTTTTAAAAACTAGTTGAGATTTTCATGTAGACTTCCTCTTCAAGGTCATCATTTAGAAAGATATTTTTTATGTCCAGTTGTTGCAAGTACCAATCTTGGTTGACAACCAATGAGAAGAGAAGAATTCTGATAGTGTTATGCTTTGCGATAGGAGCAAATGTTTCTTGATAGTCTATTCTATATGATTGTGTAAATCCTCTAGCTAACAACCGAGCATTGAATCTCTCAACTGGTTAATATGCTTTGTACGTAATAGTGAAAACCCACATACACCCCACGGGCCTTTTGCTAGCTGGCAAATCAGTAATATTCCACTATTCTCTAGTGCATCAATCTCATGTTGTACTTCCTTATTCCATTATTAATTTTGCAATGTCTCTTGTATTGTGTTAGGAACTTGAATATCATCAAGAGAAGTAGCAAATGCTCTATAAGATGGTGATAGTTCTTCATAAGTAACATAATTATCAATTGGATGACCTGTACATCTACTAAAACCTTTCCTCAATTCAATCAACATGGTAGAATCATCAATGTTAAGAATTGGCACATCTCCAACCTTATTTGTTCTTATGTTTTCTTCAGGTGAACTTGAAATTGAGTCAATATCTTGGCCATATATTGATCGTGATCCATGCTCTACTTCCTGTCTTTTCCTCCTATTGATGTAGACTTAAAAATTCTAATTAGCAAGTTGTGGAGCCACATATTTTGTAGGCACAGGATAAGAAATATTTATGGGCTGGATTGATGATTGAATAGGTATGAGTGTGGACAAGTTCTGTGTACGATTTTTTGGGCACAAGCATGAGTCGAGAAGAATGGTTGACTTTAAGTGGGCAAATGACATATACTTAAGTAAGAACTCCCAAACTTGATGTTTATTCATGCTCTCCCCTTGAAGATGAGATTTGGGATAAAAAGACACGTGTTCAAAGAAAGAGACATGCATGATGGTGTAAAATCTTTTGTTGGTTGGAGAATAATATTTATACCCTTTTTGAGTTGGAGAGTATCCTAGAAAAATACACTTATTGGCTCTATGATTAAATTTTCTGCAGTTTTGAGAATGCACATGAACAAATGCCATGCAACCAAATACCTTGAGCGGTAAATAAGATGAAGCTACATGAGTGTGAGGAAAATTTGACAGAAGAAGCTGATGTGGAGATATTGAAAATTAAGAACTCTAGATGACATATGATTAATCAAATAGTTAGTTGTGAGAATGACTTCCCCCCAGAAACATATTGGAACATTAGAAGAAAACATAAGACATCGTGTAACCTTGAAGAGATGTCTATTCTTGTGTTCAACCAACCCATTTTGTTGAGTGGTGTCAACATAAGAATTTATGTGAATAATCCCATGATTTTGAAGGTAGGTATTGAGACTACTAATGAAGTATTTCCTAACATTATCTGACTTGAGTACTTGGATTCTAGAGTTGAATTGATTTAGAACCATAAGATTGAAAGTTTGAAAAATTTGACTGATCTCAGGCTTTTCTTTCATAAAGAAAACCAAAGTTACATTTGTATGATCATCAACAAATGTCACAAACCATCGAGTGCCATAAACATTTTTATTCTTGAGAGACCCCACACATTACTATGGATCAAAGAAAAGCAATTGAAGGTTTGTATGAACTTTGAGGATATACTGTTCGAGTATGATTTGCAATCTGACAAGTTTCATGATAAAAATATGTTGGGATTCCATTTATAAATAATTTGAGAAATAATTTTGCAAGATACACAAAGCTAGGATGATGAAGACGATAGTGTAATAATATAATTTCAATATCTTTATAAACATAAGAATTGAACCCAAAATTGAAATATTTTAATAGGCTCTGAGATTGGATGCAATTTGCTTGAGAAATTTGGTTTGAGGATCTGTCACATGGGAGGAGGTAGAGCTCGGAGCACATTTTAGCACTACCAATCATCTTCCCCAATTTCATGTCTTGAAAAACACAAGTTTGGATTAAATTTAGTAACACATTGAAGGTCATGCGCTAATTTGCTAATGGACCAAATATTACAATCCAAGTTTGAAAAATGGGGGACAGAGTTGAGATACAACTCTTTAGTAAGTTGGATGGATCCTATTCCAACAATTTTAGAATTTGAACCATAAAAAATACGGATAGACGAGTGACAACTATTTGCTTATAATTTTGGAGATATGTAACATCTCCTGTTATGTGATCAGAAGCACCAGTGTCGACTATCCACGACCTCATATCTCCTTTGTTAGTAGTGAAAGTAATATGTGAATTCATTTGAGCAACCAAACATGCCCCATTAAAGCTACTACTGTCAACTTGACTAAATAGTTTCTACAACAAATCCATCTGCTTTTTGCTAAATGGGCTAGGCTTGGGAACACGAGCACTCTTAGAGTTGGAAGCCACATGCGTTTTACTGCTCTATCAAATCATGGCTTTTATTTCTAATTAGCTAGTTTTCCATTGAGCTTTCAGCAAGTCTCCTTGTAATGATTTGGTTTCTTACAGTAATCACGCTAAGGCCTTTCCCATTTCTGACGATCTTCACCATTATTGTTGAATGATCACATAACAAGGGCAGATGCATCCAACATTGATGTGGGTTGTTACTTAGATCCCATAATTATTTTCTTTTTACTTTCTTCACGCCTAACCTCTGAGAAAGCCTCCCTAAGATTGGGCAGTGTGGTTTAATGCCATGATTCAACCCTGAACATCATCTAACTCCCTATTAAGTCCTAATAAAAACCTGAAAATCCTTTGTTCTACAATCTTCTTGTACATTACTGCATCTTTTGGACATGTATACGAGTTCGAATAAATCAAGTTGTGGCCAATATCATGCGAGTTTGTTGTAATACTGATTACTGAGTAACAATCTGCTCTCCTTGCCAAAAGTCATGAAGTGGTGATTAAACTTGAAATAACTTTGAAGTATTTTCAGAGCTGAAGCAAGTGTCTTTGGCTGCATCCCATATTTCTTTTACAGTCCCAAACAACAAGAAATTTTCAACTGTCATTGCTCATGGAATTAATAAACCATGACATGATCATACCATTTTCAATCTTTCATTTTTTGAAACCTGGATTTGTAGTCTCTGGTATGGCTGCTGCTCTTGTGAGTTACTCATCATTTCTCTTACCACAAATGAACAACATAGATTGTGACCACTCCAAATAGTTATGGCAGTTAAATTTGTCTTTTGATGAGAATAGGAGAATAATCACTATCACTAAGGTTTAAAATTTATGAACTGCTTCCTGATTCTGATGCTGGATGTTTGTGACGAGGCCATTCCATAATGCAAAGAAGAAGATGAGGGAGAAAAATGAATAAGGTTGCTGGAAATATAGAAGAAGGCTGGGATGAATATTGGCTAGAGAGAATCATCCTGAGAAATAGGAAAGAGACGGCCCAAAAGAATCCGCTCGAGGGAGGCTGCTTGAAGGGATTAGGGTTCAAAAAACT